AAGGACTAGGTACTTTTATAGAAACTAAATTAAGGATGTAAACAGTTTGTTTTCCTGTTATGTATTAATAATAGATGAATAAGAATAATTAATTGCTTAAATATTCTAGAATCATAAGATCTCAAAACTCAAGGAGACCCCAGTGTCATTTGGACCCCATCCCCTGAAGAATCTGATTCAGTAGGTCTAAAGTGAGCTTGGGAAATCATGATTGTATAAAAGCTCTCCAGATGCTTCTATTGATGAGTGAAGTTTTGGAAACATTAGAGTATAGTTCCCAGCCAGTACGCCAGCCCCCTTACAAGGCCCTGTCAAGTGGAGCTTCAGGCCATCTGGGAAACCTCTGGGCTGACGGGGAACTCTCTACCTCTACAGTCAGCCTCTGTGCACACGGTTCCGTCATGAGCTAGAAGCTGTCTGCTGGCAGTCCCTGCCCATACTCCTTTGAGTTCTTCAGAACAAGGCTAATCCTTCTGTATTTGACAACACAGCCCACAGAGTGTTTGAAAGAAACTACTCTTTCCCCCAGCAGCTCCATCATTCTTGGTAAGATCACCCACCTTTCCCTCTTCTGACTGTCCTCCCTTTGTTACTTGTGTTGTCTGTGAGAAAATAAAGTGTTCTGGTTGTGGCCTACTCTGGTGCACTAGGTTATTCTCGTGGGTTCAGAGGAGCCTCTGGAGACTGTCAGAGGCTGGAGCGCTAACATGTGCTGGGGTGGCCAATGCCATGGTGCTTGCTGGCTCTGTCTGCGTGGGAGTCGGAGGTAGTGCTAGAGTTCGGCGAGAGGCTCCAAGGTTCTAGGTCAGGCCGGGTGCTCCACCCCGCTACCCAGAGGTCTGCTGTGGTGGTTGGGGCAGAAGCCGTAACTGACTGTAAGATGGTATTTTGTTTTCCTTTGTGAAAATGTTGTGGGAAGAAGGATCACATGTAGGAAGAGAATGTTGTGGGAAGCTGGGCAGAGACACCTGATTCCCACCCTTGTTACTAGTCTTCTCCAGTATTGTAGATTCCGTATTTCATAGGGTGTAAGCTCAAATTGCAGAATAATGTAAAACATAGTCTTGACGGCTCCCCTCCCCGTTTGTATCTTGTGATTTGAATGGCTGATTGACTTATGTCATTTCAAGATGAGTGATACCTTGTATCAGAAAACCCAGATTTATAAATAAGGCATTTCTTTATAGGGAGATATTTTAATAAAATGGCTCATTTTAAAATCCTGTTATGTCAAGAGCTCTCAGTGCATACAGAGTGCTGTGCCATACAAAAATCTACCCTCCTCAGGGACACGTTACATAACTGAACCATAGGTCTAACTTGAGGATCTTGAAGATTGACCAGGGGATGCTGAGCGAATGTAAGCTGAAGGCTTTAACCGTACATTCAGGATCCCAAATTCTGGTTCTCAGGGGCACGCCCTATTATCAAGTTTTAACAAAAATCAAATCCAAAGGGGGAAAAACTATTTTCTACCTGTGAGAAGTTATAATCTCTTCTCTTTTTCCCTCCTTAAAAAAAAAGTGTCAGAACAGGCAGATTATCTACACTGAGAATTAGGAGTTTGAGCTCTAACCATAGTGACATGTGAGTTTTATGTAGAAAATAGACCCAGAATATGAGCCTGAAAACAATCCAAAGTCTTCAAAGCACCAAAGTCTGCAATGCTTAGATTCAAAAGGTCTTATATTTTGGAAGTGCCCATCATTTGGCTCCAGTTACCTCTCGTTCCTAGAGGACAGTGTAGCTCCTAGAGGGAAAGAGTCAAACGCTTCCAAACGGCACCACAGGCCATGTCAGGGCTACAGTTACAGATAAAATCAGGCGTTTCTTTAATATTAAAAATGTAGTTTGATGCATAAGCGGGACTCTGCCCACAGGAATGCTTGTTCCTGTGCCAGGTCTTGACCCCAGGGCCTGAGAAGCAACTGAACAGGAAGTTACCTCCACCCCAGAGGAGGCTTCAGGGACCTGGTAGAATAATTTCAGAGGCAATAGGTATGTGGCAAGTCAGAACATTCCTTCAGTGATTAAAGCATGGCTAAGAGCATCTTCTCCTCTGACATAAAACAGCAAAGAAGTTAATAAAATTTAACTCTCCACTAATGAACAAATACGACTTCATTAAAGGATTGACATGTGTTTTAGATCCGTGGTTCCAGAGATCAAGTAAAAGGTGCTAATGGACCCTTGCTCAATAACCAGGGTGTAAGCCATGAGCCCAGCCGCTGTCTTGCCCATTTCTGTTACTTAATGCACTAAAGGGAGGTCCACTCTCTCTAAAGAACCACTTGATTGGTTAAAACTCACCTTTGGTGGCAAATGAGGGAGGGGGAACATAAAGGTCTGGGACCTTGACCGCCAAAATTCAAATTACAGGCAATTTTGTAATTTAGAGGTGCTTGGTCAGGTGTGCAAGCCCATCTTACAACCACGCTTTTGCAAAAGTCTTGAAGTAGTGTGGTAATAGAATGGCTGTTCCCCATTTTGTAGTTAATTAACCCAATTATCAAATACAAACTTCTATCTGCTGAGAAATTCTAGAGTGAAGCCTCTTAGAACTTAACTATTAACAACTGTGGTAAAAGATCTCAGATTTGGAAAATAATCTCATCCTCTACTATTGATAATTACTTGAATTTAAGAAGCTTACTTCAGTTATATAGGTCTGCCCAAATATGTGTGATTTGTATCCTATCTGATGTGATTTTTTTAAAAAAACTGAAGATTTTTATTAGAATTAAAGGAAGAAAAATTACTCAGACTTTAAAGACTGGCTCAAAACCAAAATGTTGACTAGTGAAGACTCCAGAGTAATTTTTTGTTTAAAATTTGGGGAGAAAGAGGTGAGGAATAATTATAGTACTAGCTTGGTTGGGTAAGACACACTTTGAAGTAACTCGAACTAATCATACAGTAGAGCAGCTAGTGTAAAGCAACGGACTCGAACTACTTTCCATAAACCTCGATCCAACCACTATACATAGCTTCTGCCTTTGTTTCCCCACACCCTACGTCTATTTGTAAAATGTTTATCTAAATAAGGCCAGTAATGTAGTAGGTCTCCCTAATATGTCCACAATTCAACAACTATTTCAAATTCAAATAATTTAAATACCTACCTGTGTGCCAAGCTGTCCTTTTGAAGTTACTAGACCAGTATAAATAACATTCAGTAAATATTCAAATGAAAATGCTGTGAAGAGCAAAGCCTAAAGAAGTGACACTTAAGATGAAACCTGAAGTAGGTATAAGCACTGGTCAGGCAAGAATAATAATACTGAGTTTTCTTCATTCAAGAACTGAAAGGCAGCCTGTTCTGCATAGAGCCTGGGTGTATAAGGTCATGCAAGGGAGTTTATAAACCATGTGGAGAGCTTTGGTGATTTGTTCCTAAAGTGCAATGAAGGGCTCACATCCATTAATATAAATCCCAAATCGCTCCGTGAATATTTTTATGCCTGCATTGTTTACATAATAGTTACGTTCATAACGGCAGTACTTGCTGTGTCCAGTAAAAGCTCTAGATTTGCTAATACTCCTCTCTTTCATTGCACAACATTCATAATAAATTTCTTCTGATCTGAGAACCCGTCCTATAGGCAGAACCCTCCATGCACGCTGGCATACGTGCGTCCAGTCGGAGGAAGAGATGCTGCTTTATTTGCACAAAAAGTGTACAACTGTAGAACAAAGTTTTTCCACTTTTGAGGTAACAAAAGTATAAACATTGCAGGAAACAAAATATTGCAACAAGTAGTATATATGAAGGAGAATTAATAAAATCCTAAGAGAAACTTGATACAGTGATATGCCTATTTGTTAGAAGTTATTCCTTTGCTATCTCTAAAGCATCTTTCACATAGAGAAAAATCACATCTATTTAGGGAAACCAGTGTAAGGGGGGAAATCCTTTTAACTGTACCAACAAATGGCATGTTGTACTTAAGGATGTACCTGTAGGAATCTCCTATCATAACAGGGAGATATATAAATACCCAAAAGACTTAGAACAGTTGAAATCCACTAAGAAATGCTGCAGGTAAGTTTCTCTCTTCGTTTCCTCAGACTTTGACACTAATTTTACTTCCCAGTGGCTGTTCCAAGCTGAGGCTGCTCTTCCTGGGACTGTCTCAGCCAGAGTGGTTCCTGTCCCAGAAGACTCAACTGCTGTGATCAGGAATAAAAAGACCAAAGTGAAGGCCGGAAATGTGTTCACACTGCAACCAGAGCTGTCTTCCTGTATGCATCATTAGAGATGGAATCCTGTGCGAGGCAATACATTAATGTGCATATTGTGCTTCTGTTTATCATACAGCCATTCCAAAGGAAGGATCTGCTCAGCAGGAGGTTTGCAGAGTTTAGGGCTCTCCGGTGTGAACTGTAAGCCTTAAGATGGGGTGGGAAGGAGGAGGGGTTGGTGCTTGCTGCTAATCGAGAGCTCCTGAGGCTCTGGGAACAGGATCCGGACCTCCCTTCCTCTCCCAGGTCCCAGCAGCCAGGGGCCCGTGTTTATCCTCAGGCTAAGGCTTTCATATTGCTAATGTCACGGAAAAGTGCTATATAAATCTCTCCTTGAGTTTTAAGATACACAGAATATAGAATTGAGAGGAAAGCTACTTTTGTTTGTAGCTGGAAATTTGATTGTGATAGGCTGTGGTGTCCTCAGGACCCTAACTGAATTGTACAAATAGGGTATAAAAGGGAAAGATTTAAGACAAAACCAATTTAAGTGTTAGATTTTAACAGTATTGAAATGGAAGAACGGTCCACTTTTTTAAGTCCTAGCTGTCCTAGGACTTTGGGCACTTAAGAGATTTTAGCCATTTCTGCTTTTTGTGTTCTGACCTTCCTGATCAACTCATTTAATCAACTCATTTAAAGGGGAATCCTTTTGTCACCTCAGTCACTGATTTTGGGTGAAAATAGATTTCTCCTAAGGTGGACTTTCTTCAAATGTTTTACACTCAAAGACGAAAAATGAATCAAAAGCAAGAAAGTACTGATATGACCATAAATATTTTTATTAAATGTGAAAATACACGGGCATAAAAATAGTACCCATATTTGTAGACATGTCTGAGACCCATTTCAAATAATATTAGGTTCCTTTTTTATTAAAACACTAAATTGAGATGGATTAAGTTACTTAGTCTTGTCCCATTCAAAACAAATGATAAGCTTATGGTAAGAGTAATATTTTGATTTATCAGACATCCCAAATTTTTACCTCCATCCTCTGCTTTCCACTGCAGGTAATTGTTTCAGCCACAGACAAATGCAACAAAACCTGCTACTATACACAAAGCCACGCAGTGGCTAATCTTACTTTTAAATCATTCAGCAAATGAGATCATCTGTAAACAAAAACCCAAATAACCCCCACCTCTTAACATCATTGGAAATTACAGTATAAACTGCTACTGAGAAAGGAATGATCTGATTTAGGAAAAGGATATTATTGACAAATTAGCATTTGCCTTCCTCCTTTATAAACATGGAAAAGTCAGCTACATTCAGCAAAGGTACATGAATTTCTCTAGGTTATCTCATTGATTTGTACTCAATGAAAACCTGCAAGGCCCATCACCAGTGCCCTGTATCTGTAAGGCAGTTGGCTCCAATACAGACCTGAGGAGCCATTTTTAACTTACACATCTTGTGCGCTTTTCATGGTAAATGTCAAATACGACTTCTCACCAATTTCATGCCTTTAAGGTGAAATTTTTCATTATCCACCATGAGAACAAAATGGTGTCAATTTCAAGTTGTGATTTTATTGGCCACCTTTTCAACCTAGTTATGTTATATTTTTCTTTTAAAAATAAAAAAATGGATAGTTTTTAGATTCCATTATCAGAGCTCCAAAAATCTGTCTTCATACTGATTTAAAATAGACTTTTAATACTGACTGAGTCATTTTAAAATTAGTATTGTTACATCCCATTCACATTACTATTGAAATTGTTTTCCAGTTTTCATCTATTCATGGTAAAACACAAACTTTCAGAACAGGAATTAAATTTAGTCTCCCTTTGTATAACAGTTTTATTAATACATTGCTTCTAGGCTGATGTGTTTAATACTTCTTGCTGTGACTTTTTGGTGACTTGTGGAGGTCACCACAAAGGAAGGGCAGAGTTTAACAATATAGCTAAGGCTAGGGTGGCCTGATTTTACTTTTCCTGAAAGAGCCACGGGATTGCCTGGTACCTGCAGTCCCCAAAGAAAAGTGAAAGCAGCCCACCCAAAAAAGTAAAATGCCCTTTTAGTAGTATGCTTTACACTGCACAATCATCTCCTGTGTCAGGCAGGAGGAAAGACTATTCTATCCCTTTACACATCCAGGATTTTTCTCTCTGTAAAGAAGCACTGAGTGACCATCTTTCCATTTGGGTGAACACCAAAAGATTGCTGATGGATGTCAAGGCTGGCACTCAAAGGTCGTTACTTTCTTCGTTAATCACAAAACAACAGATTGCAGGGAATTCATTTCCTTCCATGACGTTGGCACGTGGCACCAGAGTTTCTCCTTTCTCTTCACTAAAACAGGCAAGTAACTATCTGCACATTTCAGTTGTCTAACTCCATGGTAAGACTTTAGGGATAGAAATTATGGTGGTTACTAGCGAAGAAATGAAAATATAAACAAGCCTCCAGGCGGCAGGTGGCAGGCAGTGAGGCCCTGGACATGTCTCCCGTGTGGCCTGGCCCTCGACCATCCCAAACACCCTCTGGCTCCTTCTTGTTGGCAACTTTCATCCTCTCCTCTAAATGGAAGGGTAAGTGACTTGATATTTCCTTTTATCTGGTTCTGTGTGAAAATTCTTTACTGTGGTCCAAAGAATTTACAGGGACATCACATACAAAAGGAACCAGATTGAAAAAAATATTGCTTATATAACTAGGGAAGTAATGAGATTACTAAGAGTAAAGAGTAGACAAAAATGAATTTACCTTGGAAATTATTTTCACACTGGCTTGAATTGAGACACTAAAACAGAATGAAAGCTGCAAGCTGTTTGCTAGTTTTCAAAATGCATTGTTAAGTTTATTGGTAGGAAATAGACTCCTAAATAGCAAAAAGCACTTAAGTGTTTTGCTCAGTTCAACTATGTGATTTATTTTGTCCCTCAGTTAAAAAAAATCTTTCCACATATGTTTCAGGATATGACTGTAGAAGAAAATGACCTGTGCTTGGCTGCTGTAGATGGTTGTGGTCAATATGCCTCCCACAATGAATTAAAATGCTTGATTTCATAAAAATAAATTAGACTCTTTACTGCTTAAAATGGTTCAGGGCAAAACCAAAAATCTTTGAGAATAAAGGTAGTAATTCTTATCAAAAGTATTTGGCTCAGATTTTAAATGCATCATCAATAGTTCCATAAATATTCGATGTTCTCGATTAAAGTAACACATTTTTTAGGGCCAAAATTATCCAGCATATAAGACTAAATAGTTTGCTTCTTAAATAGTTATCTTCTTAAAAGGTATCTCAAGAGATGCCATCTTATTAAATGAAATGATATAGCCAGAGCTGACTAAATTTGCAAGCCTGTATTTTCTTCTAGGCAGGAGAACATCTAGCGGCATCAAGGTCTGTTAGAGAAGCAGATCTGTTGTTTCACACACACTAGCAACAGGTCCCACATGGGAGTCACTGCAGTCCAGGTGGTCAGGCCCAGATACAGGAGGAGAAGCTGCCCCACTCTATTAAGAGGAGTAAACGTGGCATTCTGTGTGTGTTTATGTTGACTGAGCAACTTTACATTTCTAAGCCAATCCTGTTACAGGAAATTCTATATAACAACCCAGAACTTCAGTTGTTTAAAAAGTATTTCAATCTGCAATATTATTTTAAATAATACCACTATTATCTGAACCTATTTACATATTAATCTTAATTTGTGTTTAATATTAAAAGGGCCCATAAGTATTTATACTTAAATTCAAGTTAAGTGGTTTTCAGTATTCTGCATGTACTAAACAAAAAAATATATATGTTTAACATCAATCCAAAGTCTAAACTTGGATATATCAACTATCATTTGGTGGCAGGTCTTCTGAAAGATGGACTCTGCCCCTTCCTTCAGTGATAGCCATGTTGACACTAGCAGCGGTGTAAATGCATGTAAAGACTTAACTTGCATTCTTGTCCCTAAGAACATACAGTTCAAAATGTTCATATTGTCTTTAAGCATTTTGAAACATAACCAAGTCTCATAAAGATTACAGCTCCTGCTTATACACGTAGGCACTGACTTGCTATGGCAAGGCTGGGAACAGAAGAATGTCTACACTGAGAGGAATGCTCCAGTGTAGAAAAATACAGACAGCAGTAGCACTTCCACAGGAGAGCCCGCCTCAGACCACTTCCAGACATTCCTAAATGTATACAGGCTGCTTTGTTAGAAACAGCCATTCCTCGCCTCTCTGCCTTTGCAAATCCATCAACCTTAAATCTAACATGGATAAGAACAGATTTTTTCCTATTAAAATAACTCTTTGGTTATGGACAAACTGAAAGATTTGAGATTTTTTTTTCATTAGGATCCCAGAACAAGGTTTCTTTGTTTTTAATCTTTAAAAAAATTAAGAAGAGCAGAAAAACAGTTGGTTTAATTGAAGTGGAATTTAAATCTAAATGGTCCGCCTGAGCTAAAGGGGTTGAACCCTTGCCATGAGTTCCAGCTTCTGTGGAAAGGGTTGCCGCCACCTCCTTGTTGGCTCTCTGCATCCAGGGGATCTTCTCCATCGTCAAACTTCTTCCTCATTTCTAGAAAGAAACCAACAAATTAAGACACAGGAAATAACTAAGGTGTTGGGGACAGGGATTAGGTTTACTTTTTAGTTATCAAAACAGTTGGGCCTGATATTCAAAAATCCAGGCTCTCCCATTCCCACTCTGAAGGAACAGACTAAAGAAACACCAGTCACACTTAAGTGGGTGAGGTTCAGGGTTAAAAATAGGTCTTCATTGAAATTCAGGCCCTTAAATCTCACCTTAGAAAAAACTACCCAAGCTTGATAACTGTTCCAGGAATTCTTAGGAAAAATAATTCCAGAGAAAGAGACCTCCAAAAGTCACACTCTTCCAAATAATACAGCCACATCTCACCCTAACCGCCCAAAATGAGGTCTGCCAGGCAATGACCTCATCAACCCACCAAGCATCTAATGAGCTTTCTAGAGTCTCACTATTCAATCTCAACAGCACTAAGTGCTTCAGACATGAGGGGAGAGAGGCCCCCATAACCTACAACTCTAGGAGGCTCACCTTTCCTGCTCACTTGTGTGATTGACGCCCCCACTGCTGGGCCTCTCAGCCCTGAGCAGAGAAGACAATGCAGACACGTGAGAGAAGTGGGCAATGAGGACTGCCGCGGGGATCGGAAGAAAGAGCTAATGTCTTTAGAGCACTTAGAAGAAGAGAGTTCATCCTGAAAATAAGAACAGGAGCCAGGAAAACAAACCTGCAGTTTTTTCTCAGTGCATGTGTTTGTGCCAGTTGCCTCCCTGCTACCTTAAAGCCCAGCTGAAGAGTGCCCTTCCCCTAAGAAGATTCCAGACTCCCAGTCGGATGGAGCTGCCCCACCTGGGCATTACGCAGGACAAGAGGATCGAACTGTTCAAGGGATATCATAAACACTCAATATTTGCTGAATAACAAGACAGTATGTATCTTACACTACCTAAAAAGGGAAGTACATTTCTGTCTCTCTTACTGGATTATAAATTACCTGAGAACAAAGGATTATTAAACTTCAATTCCATAACATAAATAGGTACTTTAAAAAGATTTGCCAAATAGGAATAAAACTTGATTTCTTCTCTTTTTGTTGAATTTGTCTAACTCAAATCAGAGCTTCTGCTACCATGGACATGGACGGCCACAAAAAAGCAGTATCAGCTTAACATTCAATTCCCTCCAGCAATAGCAAAGCTTTTCCAATATTACCTCAATTCTTAGCCTGTCTTCCTCTTACTTTCCAGGCCATATTAGTGTTTGACAAACGATCACATATATCAGTCAGTCAAACTAATGATCATTGGATCTGGGGCAAGATCCCTGGTGAACACATTCACAAGATATGGCAGGCCTGGGCTGGCTATCTGCTCTTCTCCCCACCGAGCAGTGCAGCCTGGCATGCTGGTTTCCTCATCAAGCTCCTGTGAGTTTGGTGAGAGATTTCATTATTGACTGTGAAGTTGGAAGAAACCTGGAAAATACTGTGTTATCCTCGGTGTTGTGTGCTTTTCATACCACAGGTGGCGAAAAAACTGAGAACCAAGAAAGTTCTAAAAACTTGTCCAAATAGAAAAAAGATTCAGACTCAGGTTTTCTGATTCCACATTTGATGGTCTTCTCACTGTATCACACACGTGAGTGTCCCCAGAGTTGGACGAGGACAGGCATAAAACTGGAGTTCTGAAGCTGCAAGGCCAAGGACCAGTCACCAGCCCTCACTATCCAATAGTCCCATGGGGACAACCCACCATGCTCTCCACCCTCTACCTCTGACGCTGCCTCTACGATGGGTCAAAGGAGTAAGAGCTAATAAATCACAAGTTCCACTATCTCAAGAGAAGAGAAAGATGATAAAGGTAAACAATACCTGGATCAGAAAGGACTTCTTTAGCAGCTGCTATGTCAATGAACTTTTTCTCAGCTTTTTTCTTTTCTTCTTCATTCTGGAAGTTATCTGGGTGCCACTGCAGTGCTAATTTTCGATATGCTTTAATGATTTCTTGCTTTTTAGCATTTCTGAGAGACGATAAAAATTAATAATAAATAGTTAAGACATATCCAACAAAAGGGCCATAAAACTTAGAAAAGCCAATTAAGATCCCACTGGCCATTAACAACCTGTTTTTTCTAATAGTTCCAATGGTATCAAAGGTCAAAGATTTGGCAGCCAGTACTGGATAATCAGTAAAGCTGATCAGGTTTCTTTTAAGATTATTGGGGCTAAAATAAAGTACTCTTGATCTTTATAATTTTCTCCTTTAAAAAATTCACATAGATGAAATCTTTCAACTCTGAATTCCCAAATTACCATGATTTAATTCTTGGCCTTTAAAAAGATACTTTGACTCTTTGAATCCCACTTTCAATTTTGCTTCTTCATTAGCTTACTTAATATTAGCAGGAATAAAGTTTCAGACATTTGACTGAAAGCTTGATAGGGAAGGTAGATCTTATATAAAAACATATACCAAATAAATGATATACTTCCCAGTGCCTGCAAAATAATTATAAAATACTACTTTACTTTTAGGCTTAGAGAAGGCTCATTCCCTCTCCCACTCCATCCCAACTGAAAGAAAGGTCACTCCTACCTCTCTACACTTCTTAAAAAATCCAGACCTAGGACCTGTTCATGCTACAGTGTCCTATCTTTGTCACCAACTACTAATTCTCTATTGTTGCATTATTAGTCTCTACCAAAGAGGTCTGCCTATAACATAATCAAAATAGCTGTATGATGTTAAAGATTGTTAGCGTTTAATATGTATAACTGAAATTACATATGTAAAAAAAATCAGAGAAGAAAAAAGAGCAGTTATTAGCTTTAGAACAGTTGATTAAAAATAGCAGTGCAAGTTTTAAATTAATAATTCACCTTTTTACTCCCAAGATTTTATAATAATCTCGTTTCTGCGACTGTTTCAATAATCTTTGTGCTTTCTCTAGACCTTCCCGAATCTGCTGATCATTTTCATTGTGTTCCTGAGCAGTTTCATAATCCTGAATAGCTGTCAAAATATGTTTAAGATAATACCGTTAAAGGAAATTACAATTGGTTGCCTTTACTTGTCCTGCAAAATTGATCCTAAAGTCATCCTCCCCAACCCCTTCACTCTTTTGCCATCAGTGCCAAAAGCCTAAATGATATCACCTTAATGATTTTATTCAAAAATTTACAAAGGCATAATAATTAAGGCTGAGTTTAGGTAGCTTATCATTCCCATTCAACAAGAGTCACTGCTGTTTACCTGCCCTCCCACACTGTCTCCCCACACCATCTCCCCACACCAGGGGTCCCCAAACTTTTTAAACGGGGCCAGTTCACTGTCCCTCAGACCGTTGGAAAGTGCGCACTGTGGCCCAGAACGAGTCAGGGGCTAAGCATGACAAGGCAACGGCGGCAAAAACACCCGGTGTCCTAGGCAGGCGGCATGTGGCCCACGGGCCATAGTTTGAGGACGCCTGCCCCACACCCTCTAGGTATTTTAACATCAGCACTTTATACAGAGCAATCTTACCACTACACTAAGACTGAAGTGACTGTCACATAGGAAAGAGACAGTGGCAAAGAAAATCTGCATAGTCAGTCATGGGCTGACAGTGCAGAAGACTCTCAGGGTTAGAAAGGGAGCCAGAGGAACCGTCGGCAATCAGAAGGACTGGGATAGCCACAGGCTCCAACACCAACTGATACAAACCTAATTTTTGTTTTTAAAGTGTAAATCAAAACACAAAATATAATACATATAGTTCTAGTATGAGAAATCTGGTGATAATCCACATTATATCTTTTATTTTAGAATATTTTAAATATTTAGAAAATACAAGACATCTGGATATCTAATATCCTCTAGATAGGACTACTGACAAGGTTGGCCCCTGGCTAGTGTTTGGGAAGTTGGATTTCTGGAGTATTCCCAACATTCCCTGATAAGAATGGCTCACTATGCCTGAACAGACTGTCCAAAGCATATGGTTTATGCTAAACATCTTTCCTTATGGAAGTCTGGAATTTGGTATGGGCTAGGCAGAAGGTACCTAGTGATTAGTTCCCAGTAAAAACTCTGGATGCTGCATCTCTAACAAGTTCCCTGGTAAACAACATTTCACATGTCTTATAGAATTTCTCATTGCTTAAAAAGTTAAGCTTGTCCTGGGTGACATCACAGGGAAAGAGGACTCTTGGAATCCTTGGCCTGTTTTCCTCAAGATTCACCCCCTTGCACTTGTTCCCTGTGCTAACTTTGCTTTGTATTCTTCCTCTGGAATAAATCTTAGCTCTGGATACAACTATACACTGAGTCCTGTGTGTCTTCTTACTGAATCACAAAATCTGGGGGTGACAGAGGAGCCCATACACAGATTTTTCTCAATGTTCTCCCTAGATAGGCAACCCAAATAGTAGATTGTTGGATTCAAATTCTAGTTTTTATGAAAATGCATGTCACTGTAAAAAGACAGCGGTCTGGATAACATGCTTAAACATTCATCTTAGCAACAGCTAAGGAAGGAAGGAGTGTAAAAAGGCATTAGAGGAAGACTAACAAATTTAGTTAGCCTGCATTACACAGAAAAATGAACCAATTCTACTTTTGGCCCATATGGCAGGGATAGTCTAATTCCTGTCTCAATGCATTAATATTAAATATTAATATAAAACATTAAATATTACTTTGACCCTAATCCATACAGACATCATAAAATACTTTTCAATTTAGTACACAAATAAAACCATCATAAGTAGTAGGGAGGTTTAACTTTACAATTAACACAACACTTATGTCACAGCCTAGAGTAAGGAACTATGCCTTGAAGGAATACAAGGGGAGACTATTTCAATATACACAATTTTGCACAAACTCTACATTAAAAACATGTTTTCATTCTTAAATGTATCTCCCCAAAGCACTCTTTTATATTTTTATTAAAATTTAAGGTAGACGTATTTTTCCCAATGTAAGACAAAAATGTGAAATTATATGTTGTTTTCTGTCTTCACATGATTGCAGGTAACTGACTGGAAACAAATATGGATGATGTAAGACTTCTCATGGAAATAAACTAGACAGATCATCTTTAATTATATTTTCTCAGACTCCACACTCTAAGGGAGAATCTTAAAAAAACAAATGACACCCAATTGTGTTTATCCCATCACCGTAACTGAACAGCTGTGAAAAGCAGAATAAACCAGAAATATTACAGCCCTGGACAAAGTTCATATTATATATTAGCTAATTCATTTTCTAACCTCTGAATCTAAAATATCTATCCCCAAATTATTTTCCTTCCATATCCCCCTCACATTCTTAAGAAGCAATGGGAACAACCAGCTAGAGATAGCAAATAGTAAAGACAGAAGTTTGCCCACCCTCTTTCCAACAGAAATGATAAAAATAAAAAATAATATAACCATGGCAGCACTGAAACAGCACACCAGAAATTTAGATAAATTTCTGGAAAAGAGTAAGGAAGTGGATCCTCTTAACAATAAATAGGCTGGGCGTGGTGGCTCACGCCTGTAATCCTAGCACTCTGGGAGGCCGAGGTGGACGGATTGCTAGAGGTCAGGAGTTTGAAACCAGCCTAAGCGAGACCCTGTCTCTACTAAAAATAGAAAGAAATTAATTGACCAACTAAAAATATATATATATACAAAATATTAGCTGGGCATGGCAGCGCATGTCTGTAGTCCTAGCTACTCAGGAGGCTGAGGCAGCAGGACTGCTTGAGCCCAGGAGATTGAGGTTGCTGTGAGCTAGGCTGATGCCATGGCACTCACTCTAGCCTGGGCAACAAAGTGAGACTCTGTCTCAAAAATAAAAAATAAACAAAAAACAATAAATAAACCTAAGCAAAGAGAACCATGATGTGTACACACACTGAAAGAGGCCCTGGCAGATCCAGAAGCCATTCTTTTTGGCCAAGAACCCTCAGTTGGGCAAGGAATAGCTATCAGACAATCACCAGGACAGCCTGTGAGGTGACAGAGAGATGGCTGGGGGGTTCTAGCCCTTGTGTATCAGGGAGCTAGCTGTGCCATTAACTCCAACCAGGGCCAAGAACCAGGGTCTAGACAGTGAAAGGTGTGCCTGGGGAGGGGCCCTGCCATGGCTGCTGGGACCAGGAAGAGGTGGAGCAGAGCCCAAGGTGGAGCGGACCTCTCAGACAGACCTGGAACCAAAAAGGAAAAAGTGGTCCCACGGAGAAGTTCAGTATACCAAAGGACTCTAAAAGTGTTACTCCTCTTGGCAGCTGGACAAGTGGCCTAGGGGGCATCTTCCTGTGAACAGGTCCTACCCACTTAAAGCCCACCCTGAGCTACCCAACACAGAGAAGCACCTGAAAGACAGAAATGCACAGACAGCTGCAAGTGACTCTCCTCCTTTCACCCCACCAATCCATTAGCAAGTCCTAAGGCAGCTTCCCTTCAAAATATAGCCACATTCTCACAGTTACCAGTGTGATGCAGGCCACCATTAACACAGCGAAATCACAACAGCACCCTCTTAACATATGTTCCTGGCTCCCCCCTATTCTCCTGAAGGTCTATTCCATATGGACCTTAGAGATCCTTTTAAAGAGTCCAGTATATCAGACAACAGACCTCCAATAGAAATGTGCTCAATGGAACACTGACATTCTCCTCCTGGATATCATACAAAAGAAACATGGCAAACAGGCAGGGGGAAGCCTACAAACTCCATTTTTAGCAAAACGATAATAAAGAAACTACAAAAGGCTCCTAAAAGCTGCTAATATCAGCCATGGATCCAAGATGAGAGGGGAACAGAAGGCCCAGTGGTAAAAGATCACAGACAATGCCAACAAAATACACTTCCTATGAGTATGGGCTCACCCCAAAGCGACAACCTGTATCCTTTGCATAGTACAAGGATAAGGAGCAGACATGGTAGAGGTAAAGCACAGGCCTCACTGGGACGGGAAAGGAAGAGGACACCGTGAGACAAGAATGGCTGAGCAGCCCCAGGCAGCAGGTCCCAAAGAAGAGCAGCAACTATATGCGCCCTGAAGGTGAGGTCTCACTCTGAAGTGCAAAAGATACATGCCTTTGGTGCAGTTAAGCAGGTGGCAGAGGGGCGAGCAGGGTTGGCAGCAGATGATCTGGCCACGGTTGGGTTCAGAGAAGCAGAAGGGTGGGGCTACACGGGAAAGCCATCTTAGCAGGAAGCAGAACGTGTATGGAAATAGTGAAGCAAAGAATATCGTCACACAGAAACCTGTCCTGGCCCCAGCACCCCCTCACACACACACACACACACACACACACACACACACGAAGGAATGTCCCCACAAATAACTAAGGCAGAGTGATCCAATTATTCAAAAAAAAAAAAAAAAAACTGGAACAGCATCAGTTAAAAGATATTTATTTCTAAATTACATCAGGAAAAGAACACAAAAACTTACTTCAGAAAACAGCCCAAACTTACATCAGAAAAACAACAGCCAAAGAATTCATGAAAATTCTGGGATAATCGCAAAGCAGAATCAGAACTCAGGAAAGAGATCATGAGACAAGGGAGAGATAAAAATGTGAGCAGTAAGAACTCAAGAAAAAAAAGAACAAATCAAAACTATCATAGATGCAGAGGTGAAATGAGAAGGCACACAAGAAAGATGAAATGGAAAAAAATTAAGGACCTAACAAAATGAAATGGAAATAGTTCAAAAGGACTATAGAAAACATTACAGCTAAAGGTGACAGGCAAAGGAAATATAATCCATGTATAACTTTTATGCATAAAACCAAACCAATAGAAGAGAACGAAACAGATTAAATCTAAGAAAACATTCCTGAAGTGAAAGATGAATCTACAGACTGAAAAGGCACAGCAGGTGCCAGGACAGACTGGCTGAGGATGGTCAACACTAAGACGCGTCCCAGCATCATTACCAGACTTGAAGATAGAGGCTCTTTGGGTGGCCAGGCCAAAAATAACCTGGCACCAGATTTTTCACAGCAAAAGTCAGTCCCAGAAGAGAA